CAATAGAATATCATTCGCGAAAACACTCGACTGTGGAACGAATGCGAGCAAGTGAGCGAGCGTCGCAAGCTTGGCAGCCGGTGCGGCAGTTTACAGCGGAAAAAGAGTTAACACAGCTTGCGAGATACGTTCTTTCTATCCCGCGATAGAAAGCGCGAGACACGCTCCAGAACCATTCGGGACACGAATGCACAACGCGATGTTATCGAGCTTTTCCGTCGTTTCCTCACCAATTTCCCTCTCGCTACGTGTGCATGCTGCAGTCAATTTGCAAAAGCGTTTCGCTGCCTTTCTCAGTGATGAAAAAGAGCAGGTCTTTTATGAACGTAGTAATATTCAATAATGCTATCCGTATTACAGTTGAGCCAACATGATATTTCACTACAATTTTCTGCCATTTTCATCATTACTATACTCTAAAATTATTCAAAACTTTATATGTTAATAATATATAACAATTTAAAAAATTTTGTTATAAGATATTAATACCCAGGTAGAAATTTTGTCTGGAAACAATCAAGGTTCCATATATTTTGTGAAAAGTATTTCTGGTATCCAGGTGGAAAATCTAGCTACACGGAAAAAAAATTAGCAGCAGGAGCTATAATAATATATAGCTGTGATAGCTGAAATGTGTCTTTAAAATAAGGACAGCTAATGCTGTTGCCCAGGCTAAATTTATTTGCACTTAGGTACTATAGCAAAACATTTTTGCTGCTAGAGACACATAATCTTAGCTGAATGTTACTTTATCCTTTACTGCAGAACTAAATAACCTTTATTATGAGTGCTAAGATTTTTAGCTATGATTGTATAATCTTTGCTGATAATGCTTACGGTTACAATTAAAACTTTTTAACGTGCAATGGCCTTAAACGACACAACAAATGATAATTACACACACACACACGCGCGCGCTGTATACCGTCTATATTTTCCACGCTAACTTCTCTAACCTGTAGAATGTAAAATCATCGGAATTCTATTCGGAGGAGGCACAAAAAAAATCATCGGAATTATGCCGTGATTTCACAGTGGCGCATATTTATCTCCCGATATGCCGATTCTATAATTTTTAATAACAATAGCATAGTTATTATGTATATGATATGTATATTATCAGTATCATTACATATAATGCAGATTTTAAATGTGCCACATGGCATGATCCCGGTGATTTTATATCTCATAGGTTAGAAAAGTTAGTATGAAAAATCGCAGACGGTATATACAAGAAAGAAGTGCACTTATGTTTAAATCTATCAATGATAAACTGGGAGACCCAAATATTTTAATAACGTATATATATCTTCGTCCATTACACGCAGGAACACACTCGCACGAAACGAAGTGAACAACGCTAATTAATGCGCCAAAGTTATGCATGGCAGCATCGCAGAAACAATTACGAGTCGTAAGAAATTTACGCTGCTACCTTTTTAGCCTCCTGTATTAATATATGCTTTTAATTTCGGCTAATAAATTTTTATGCTACAGTGAATGTTTTTTATCTTTAATAGCCAGAGCTCAGCTATGACACTAAGGCGGTAGCTCTTACAGCTAAGTTTGATTCAGCTATTGAAATTTTGCTGCTATTGCTAAGTTATTTTTTTTTTTTGTGTAGGCTCTGTGTAAAGTTTAGGACGCCTAAATTGAGCTCTATCGCTGAATCCAGGTCGGCCCAAGATGGCATCCGGAATTTGTTCAAAAAAATTATCTGGAATTTAGCTGGGACCTATAATTTTCCTAGATATTTGCTTGGTTTGTACCATAATTATTTCTATAATCCAGTCTGGTCCAGGCTTGAATCTAAAATTTTTCCCTAAAATATTCCCTGAAATTCCAACTCGTCTTCGACTTCATTTTCTCTTTCATTTTCATAACCGCTGATTTCATCATTTTGTACCATGTGTAAATCACCCTCGCACTCGAAATTTCCATGTGCTTCGGCTTCTTCGTATGCACAGTCATTACTGGTAGTGTGATAACAATTATCGATGGTTATATTACTGCCTTGCACATCATTATTAACCTCACTATCGGTTTTCATCATTAGACACATTCTTTTTTCTTATTTTTTTCTCGCGTAATATTTTCGTTTCCTCAACAATTGTGAGGACATCCATGTATCTTCGATGTTACTCGTCATCTCAAGTGTTTCAAAACTACAGTTGTGATCACTAATTAAGAAGACAGTTTGTACAAGACAATTCAGAAAAACTGACACCAGAGATACCAACTCGAGCTCCGTACAACAGAGTCCCATCGAGTCCCATTCGTGAGGGGTAAGACCCCCACTATGCGGGCACACAAGCGAGAATCGCTACGTCATTCGTCCATGTGATGCTCACTCGCTTTATAGTATAAAGTAAACGTAAATTTTCTTGGGGAAAACTAGGTAAATTTCAAAATTATATTCTAGACCTATTAGGGTTATTTAAAGCTAGACTATCCAATCCAGGCTCCATAGTTTCATATCTAATTTGGGAAAAATCTGTCAGTGGCAATTTAGGACCTATGTAGATTTTCCCGACTATTTTTTTCTCTCGGTAAAATCAAGGTAAATTTCTAGGGTGCATTTTGGATTTTTCAAACTGGATTTTTCTATCCAGGCCCCGTACTTAATCTCGATAAATCGAGGCAGATTTCTATCTGAGTATCGCTAACATTAAAGTAGTAATAATGCTATGGCGTTTCGTATCTAATTATCATTCGCACTGGTCTTATTATACTAATTAAAATTGTAATATAATATTCAAAGCAAATTTGGACGACGTTACAATGCCGATCGCTGATCTCAAGTGTCAACATTTTTTTACTATACTAAGAAAATCTGAGCGCATGCGTGGCTATCGATCGATCGATCAATTCTAGTAGCTCTGTTACGTGTCCGTTGGCGAAATCAATAAGTCGGCGATTATCGGCGGAATGGCTGTCCAGCTTGTGTACACTCGCGAAAGTCTCGCGCGTTATCGGACTTATTGGATTCCGGACCGTCTTTGTAAGCTCGTCGTTCGGAGACGTCGGATGGGATAAATGCGGCGGCGGCTGTCAGAAAAGTCGGAATTCCCCCGGGGAGATGCTGTGTCGGATGAGAAGAAGCGGCGAGTTAGACGAGTGGGGCCGGGGGTGGTGGGAAAACCGAGGTAACCGGGTGACGAGGGGATGCAGAACCGGTGAGATCCAGAAGGAGAAAGCAAAAGGGACGAGAGACAAGGGGTGATGGGGTAAGGTTTGCGATACGAACGGACAGGCCAGATGAGGGAGGAAGGAGGGGGGGGAGGGGGAGGCAAGCAGGCAGGATAGATTGCCGGTGCCGGGCTTAGAGGCGCCTCCATAGATCATAAAGGGTACGTTTTGAATAATTTACCGAGGCTATCTGTTTCGCGCGGGAGCGCCGAAGAGAGTGTCAAGGTTGCGGCGGGATCGAGTTTACTTCCAATCACGGGAAAATTCCGATCAGCGGATCCAAACTCGTTTTTTTTTCGCAGTAGGGGCGGCGCAGATTGGTCGCGAAATTGAGAAGGAATAATCTGCAGCTTTTCGGCGATTTCGGGATTTGGGAAATACGATTGAGGGGCGATATATAATCTTACTTGAAGGCGAAAAATTAATTCACCGCGAATAATGCTGGTCTGAAAATATAGTCTGTTAAGCGCCTGAGGATATAATAATGCGCGCGAATGTAAACCTTCAGAAATTATGAAATTTCGATGAAATGTACATATAAAATGCATGTATCTACATTTAAATAAATGTATTTGCATACTTTATTCCTTGTTTAACATTAAGCAAAAAAAGTTGCAAGAAGAGTCTTAATCAGAAAAGTTTAATTTTAAATACACATTCTTTTTTTTCTATGTAAAATTCTTCTAAAAGGAATAAAAGGTTGTGTTTAAATACGTTATTCCGCTTGCTACAAAATTGTCTCCGGATTTGCATTATTATACCGTTACTACTATTAGCGTGAAACATCGCGGCAGAAACGCGAATAAATTGAAATCTTCTAGCGGTGCTAGGCAGATAAGACACGATCGAACGGCGTCTAAATGCAGCAGTGGATGCTCTCTTGAGACACCGTTCATTCACGATTTGCAGCGGTCTGCAATTATATGGAGCGTGCCTTTTGTCCGCCTTTATTACCGCTTCATCTGCGGAAATTTTCACCGGGAAAATACAGCTGATCGGCCTCTTCTGAGAAGCGTGACATTGCGAGACTCTCGGCAGCCTTATCTTAATTCGAAAACTTTAGCCTTAGCAAGTAGCGACATTTAGCTTACTGCTTAAAGACTTTGTTAGTGAAACTGTAGTCTTCTGCAAGATGTCCATCTTCTATGCGTTATTTTTTAATGACGGATTTTTCTTAATCAATTTAAATACGTTTTTATTTTAATGTAAAAAATCTTTGTAATAATGTTAACGAGCATAATTAGCAAACAACATTGACGAGGATAATATCACATATTTGATATAATTAGTGTACACATAAATTTTGATGACTTCAATTGAGATAAAAGATAACGTAGATGTAAATAAAATTTGCATTAAGTCAAGGACAACTCGAAGTTAAATTTTACATTAATTAAAGAATTTGGTCTAATTCGTTTTAATCAAACTCCAAACTTCGAAGATTATAGGGAAATTCTTGTGAATTACATTGCTTTTAGGGTCTTTCAGTGTCTTGACTCGCCATTGGCGAAAGAGAATAGAGAATGGAGAAGGGAAAGAGGAATCCGCTTACTACGTAGCAGTTACGCCCAATGAATGACGTCAGGTGTGTGTATGTGTGTGCAGTACGCATTCGGCACGGCGTTAAAGAGCACGCGTGTTGCTTGCTTGCTCCGAAAAAGAACTCCAGGAGAGCATAACAATGATGTGTAAAAATATAGCGAGTGTGCTGTGTGTGTTGCTGTTATTCGTCACGATAGGTGAGATTTTTCAAGCGAAAATCTGGAGGATAAATGCCAAGAAAATCGTGTTTCAAGCGCCTTTAGCAGATATCTCATGTGATCGCCATCTTGAAAATGAACCTTATAGTCTCTTGATTGTTTATGGGTGGGCGTGAAACTTGTTTTCCAACGATTAACAATTTTGTTATTGTTTTAATCTTCTTTGGCTCGACTTATCCGCGAAAATATTCGCATGCCATATTTGTAGCAATGTTAAAATACATGTTACATAATATATGATAGAAAGTAAATACAAACATATATTTTAATCAAAATGTATTTTGTTTCAATGATTATTAAAAGTAGAAACAAATTGAGTAACAAACAAAGATTTAACATTTTCTCAAGATAAGAAGGTGATTGAAAACGTGATATGGGAATATCTTTTGTGTTTCTGCAATGTCTAGAGGTTAAAGTGGTTGAAGGTTATTACATGTTACATGTATATGTTGATTACTCCATTATTAACCTATTTTGATTTAAATGTGCAATTCATTTACTGTTAGTGATTGTTAGTTGCTAAGGCTTGCTCCCACTATTCTAATTAAATAGTTGCAACTTAATACTGAAAGATGTTATTAGCACTGTTGTTTTATTTTGGAATGTACAGGCACCGAAGCGATACGCTGTTATCAATGCAGCTCTGACATGGATCCAAAAAATATGGATCTCTGCGGAGCCTACAGCAAATTCGATAAAGAGAAAAATGTACCTATCGAGTGTAACAGCGAGGAGTCGCACATGCCTGGCACGTTTTGTGTTAAATATACAGAGCAGAGTCCACGTGGTTTCATCTGTAAGTATTTTTGTTATTTGTAGTGTTTAATAATACATGGATAAGTTTAAAGAAATCTCTTAGCTATCATAATTCTTTTTATTTTTTTTTTATAAAAAAGTAATTGAAATAACTTTCATTCCTTGCTTACTATTTTTAATTTATTTGCTATTTTTATACACTTGAAACATTTTTAATTTATTTACTTTGTATTAAACAACTTTGAAAAGATAATGCAACTTCTTAGACATATAACACAATGTTTCACTGTCTTTCCTTGGGCAGTTGAGTATTTATTATACCCACATGTTTTTTCTCGCTTCACAAAAGTGAAATTTTAGCATAGCTTTTAATTTGAATTTTCTACATTAAAATTAAGAAAAGTTATATCAGTTGTAGCCTGGTGTTAAAGATTATTCTTGCACTTTTATAGTATTTAAGCTTACAAATTCTTGATCTACCAAGCTTATTTGCGTGATACAAGTGCGCAATAACGCGTATTAATTAATTAATCAATCGACAATATTTAAGGGAACGGTAGGTGGCGGCAAGTGATTCGACGATGCGCTTCCATTGCCAGTACTGGAGTCACAGGGGTCTGTAACTGGGGTGTTCACGAGAACGGGGTTTTCTGGCAAGAGTGTTACTGCTCTGAAGATTCCTGCAACGCAGCAACCAGTCTGATGTCCTTCACCACGCTGCTTCTCACCGTGTGTGGCGTCGTCTTCACGCTATTTTATTTTAAGTAAAAGTAGTTTCCGAAAGTATTCACATTTTTCGAAGGACGAAAACAGAAGAATGTTGACAATCAGAAAGGGTCGATTATTCTTTGTTGAAAGAAATGAAAATTTTTAATTGTGACTCATATAAGTATAAAAAATAGTAGGGATGGTATTCTCAAAGAATTTTGGAGTTGGCTTTTTCTTAGCAAAATTTTGATCATGAATTATCATATATAAATATTTCCTATTTCGCCTCGCTTAGCTTCTATTTAAAGTACGCTTTTGAAGTAAAAAATGAGATATTTTATTTATGTATATTCTTAAAGCAAAACTTTTTTAGTTTTATAGAAC